CCGACATGTACCGCCTCTACTGGCCTATCCCAACTAGGCAGTGGTAGATCCCCTTTCACCTAACCCCCCCCCCTCTCTCCTCCCTCCATCGGCACGAATCAGTAAGCTTCGCGAAGATCACRCCATCGRTSAYGACGTCAACCTACKCGCTGATTCGACGGACAGCAACRAGCAGGGGTGCAGAGCACACGGAGATCGGATGGACCATGATGGCGTCACCTGGACGATCTCCACGAGGCAGAGGGTTGCATATGACAGGGCTACAGAGATTTTGCCACAGATGTTGTCGCCATCTCATCCGCGGCCCAGTTATCGTTCCTTGTACTTCTTTTTGCTCTGTTGATACGCTTGGTTCCTCATGCATCACTCTGCTCTCCCCTCTTCTTCTTCGCCATGACATGCAATCAGGAGATCGCATAATTTTGGAACCCCCTGCGTGTCACATATGTGACGAACCACTTCATGACCCCGTGCCATCTTTCGTACCCTTTCTTTTTCTTGTATCATACCAACCCCAGGAAAACCCCGTTTTGAGTTCTTGCTTTCGGGGGCCGCATTTTCCTTTTTGAGAGCTTTTTTCGACTGCTGAGTCCTGTTTTTTTTTTTTTGCAAAGTCGGGAAATTCATGGGAATTTAAGTGCGCCTTAGCGAGCGCACTGGGAATTGGGCTTGGTAGTTGGGAATTCCGGGATAAGCGGAACTTCGACGTGTCCTTTTTGGGTGTGTGAGTGTGCTTGGGCGCATCGGGGAAACCTCTCGGAATTTTACGTGAGTACGAATAGGCGTAGGATTTTATTTTCCCCCGTCGCTTTTTTTCGCGCGGATATGGTGATTTCAATTTTGAATTAGGATAGAAGCAAGTTGTAACTATTTCGGTGCCTGCATGCAAAAGCTTCCTCCTCTCTGTCCCCACATCGCTCCCTCCCGCGCCTCCCCTCCCTTCTCTCTTCTTTCTCTCTCTCCCCGTAACTGTTTTTCCTTCTCCCTCTCTCTCTCTCCCGCCTTGCTTTCGCGCGCCCATTTCCTTTTCTTCATTGTCTGAATCTTGGACCCGTCTTGCGCCACCTCTCGCGCCTTTTCTCTTCTCACCCTCTTAGTCTGGTGTACGACACCCGGTCGATCCCCCGATAACTCCCGCTCGCCAATCAGGTGCATGGATCGATAGGACCTTCCTATCGCGCGACTAATCTGATTGGTTGAACCTTGAGTTCCGAGGGATCAACATGGGGTTCGTAGAGCACTCTTCTCAAAGTCTTCTCCTCCTGCTTCTCCTCTTACACCTCAACTTTCCTGTTGCCTTCGCCCCCTACTATCTCCCCTATGGCAACTATAAAACCCGCAAGCGCGTTCGCAAATCTCTCTTACATTCTCAACTTCTAAGCCAGCTTCCGGGAAGCAGTGGCTAGGCAGAGTAGATTGGTGCGAGTCGGAAAGTCCTGTCGAGGTGACGATAGGCTGGCCGGTTGCGCGCTTGATCACCGCGACGGACTGTGGGATCTGGGCGAACCGCGTCAAGTTTACGTCAGCGGGGTGACGATCGCAGTGGTGGCAGTTAGCACGCGACGGCCGGGATCGTCGGTGCGGGTATGATGTTCGACGAGTGGAGTTAAGTGAGTGATTGGCCCGGGGCCATATTGGAACGGCGAATGCGCCTTTGTTGTTGCGGACTCTTTTTCTGGTGTGAGTGCACGGCGGCAACGCTGAACTTCCTTCTTTTTGATTGCGTTATCTCCCATCTCGACTCTCCTCCCTCACCTTCCCCTATCTTTGAATGATGATGCGTCTGGATGATTGTCTCTCCCTTGCATGAGAATGAGTCCGCATGATGTTTCTGTGTGAAAGAACTTCTTCCGGAACTCTTCCATTAGTTTCCTGGGTAGGCCCCCCCTATGCAAGGACCCCATCTTCTTGTCTTGTGAACGGTGGATGCGTGTGTATTGTTCAGCGATCCATCTTTTTGCCCCTGAGTATATCTCATTTTCGTACCTTCCACAGTAAATGAATGTATGGAGATCCGCGTTTCTTTACGTTGATTAGATGATTGTTGTTGGGATCTTGCTCGAGAATGCAAGAGTGTTTAGATCTGTAGCTCTGTTTGCACTACGCATGCCATCTGCCTTATGTTGCATGACATCAACAGCCTAGCCACGAGGCGGCCCTAAGAAACAAGGCGCCCAGGGACCAACGTTGTGTTGAACCAATCAGACCCATAGCCATACGCGTGACCAAGTTGATCCGTGTTTGCTCTCTCTCTGTCTCTCTCTGTCTCTCTCTCTCTCTCTCTCTCTCTCTCTCTCTCTCTCTCTCTCTCTCTCTCTCTCTCTCTCTCTCGTGTCCAAAAAATTGATTAAGGCACGCGCGGATCGCTTTTTAATGACGTCTCAAGATATTTCGTGATTAATTGACATGTGGACCAACGAGTACCCTCTGACTGGGCGCCAGCCTCCCGTATCTCCCATCCCAACGCGACCTTTTCCTTATAGTGAGGAAAGGACACGTGTCTGCGAGTGGGACGTACGAGAAGCGGTCGCACGAATCGACGAACACTACTTCTTCCCTCCCGAAAATCGTTGCTCTGGATTCGTGGATGCGGACTTTGTCATTGTCGATACCCACTTCCCACCCTACTCAATATTGCTCCCCTTTAACGAATTGATCGTCATTCCGTGGACGGCAGTGGCGCCTCATTCGCCTCGAACCTTGTGCACTGAGTGCCAGCGCTTCGATCACTACGAATCGAAAGGCTTTCAATACCGAATACGGAGTGAAGACGAGCACAAAGAAAGAGCCACACGGCTGAGACCATCCACGTCGGACTCAGAACTAACCAGTGAACGACGAGACCTGATACGGAAACGAGATACGCGAAGCGTGCCCAAGCCTTTCCGTTCTAAACGACGGACGGTAGCCCGATGGGAGGCACGACAATACTTTTTGGATTGAATTTGAATTTTTCCCTCCTTCCCACCTTGCCCGCGCGCACCTTCCGCGACGCGCGAAAACAATCGACTTGCTCCATCGGACCAACACGGGGGATCTCAGTTTTGTTTGTGTCCCGACACTCAATTTCCAAAAATCCTTGGTACACCCCATCTTGCTGTTTTTCTAGGCCTCTTTTCCGCACAGCTAACACTCCAAACGGAAGACAGCACAGGGCGTGAGGTTGCGCGTCACAAACCGGCCGTTACTTGGAAACATCGGGGGGAAGCGATACGGGTGCTGGGGGTCGCACTTACAGCAATGGGCCCTCCGCCGGATCACGGGGCTTCGTTGGTGGAGGAGGCAATGAGGAGACTCGCCAGGTGGAAGGGCCTGCACACTTCCATAGTCGGGAGAGCATTGGCTCTAAATACGACCATTTTTTCTACCATGTGGTACAAGGCTGCCTGCTGGCCAATTCAACCAAAACCCGCAGGGTCACGTGGGATTACATAGGCCATTTTTTCTACCATGTGGTACAAGATTGAAACGCGCAGCGGCGGCCTATGTTTGGAAAAATGACCATGAAGACCCTTCGTTCCTCCCCAGGGTCGCGTGGGATTACATAGTTCAACCCCGCTCCAAGGGGGGGCTTGCTATTTTGGAGCCCCAAGACCAGCTGAAAGCCTTGTCCTTCAAGATCTTGATTCGCCTGCTCATGGGCAATGACATACTGTGGGCCCCGTATGCCGAGCTGCAACTGTCAAATTTGCCCCCCCCCTCTCCCGTGGATGCTCCCGTCCATGCGCTGCAATGGCTTACCAACCCCTGTTGGACAGTCCCCGGAGTATCCACTGCGCCCAATCCACAGACACCACGAGCTCAGGCCAGGAACGACATTGCAAATGACCCCTTGCGGCCTGGCATGGTTAAGTTGTGGCAGGAAATGGGCCCGGACAGGCTTCCCCCACCGATTCGCTGGCACAACATTATCAAACAACCGCTCTTCGGAAACCCCGACATTGTTTGTTGTCTTTGTTGTCGCATGTGTTGTCGTTTTTGTTGTTGTTGTTGGTGTTATTGTTGTCATCATCACTGCTGCTGCCACTGCCGACACCGTTGGCGTTAGTGTTGTTGTTGTTGTCGTTGTTGTCACGTGTGTCGTTGTTGTAGTTGTTGTTGGGGTTGTTGTCGTTGTCATCGCCACTGCCGCCATTCCGACGCCATTGCCGATGTAGGTTGTATAGTTGGTGTCGCGTGTGTCGTTGTTGTTGTTGTTGAATGTATGGTTGTGATGCTATTGCTGGTGTTGTTGTTGCAGCCCATGCCATCTTAGCTGCCTGCGCCTCTGGCTGAGCGGAGAGTTTCCAGCCGGCAGCCATGTGGAAACACGGCGGACAGTGTTTCCAGAATGCCAGTGGGGTCTGAAACCCACTTTGGCATAACCCAAAACAAATTCCTCAAAAAAAATTCCCACTGGGTCCGAAATCGGCCTTCCATGCGAAAACTCTTCCAGCCGCCGGCCAGTGGGGTCCAGGCCTAAGGTTCTTTTTTTTCGTTTTTTGTTTTTTGTTTTTTGTTTTTTTGTTGGACCTAAGGTTCTCGCCACACCACTCTCGAAATGTCAAAAAGTTCATTCTCATTTTGCACATGTCGAGATTGGTGCGGCGATGCCCTGACTCCCGTTTCAAATGGCATTTGGCCTCTACCGGTAGTTCTTCTTTTTCATTTTCCAAATACGAGTCCATGATCTAATCATGGTATTCCCAAATGGCATTTGGCCTCTACTTCTTCTTCTTTTTCCTTTTCTTCCCCATTAATAAATATCTTGGGGCGCCAGGGCCCTTGAGGAGAGCTCACTTTGCCTCAATCTCGCGCAAGCGCATAGACCCCTATCTGCGGTCGTCCCCTGGCACTGGTTCTAATACACTCCATTGCAAGGTCCGTCGTCATCCCACAAACGCTACTCCAGTCCAGGGCGCCAAGAGTCGTCAACAGTAGATCTGCAATCCCTCGGATCCTGTCAATTTGCAAGGGAGCTGTGACGCTTGTCCTTGTGATGACTGCCGCTCCTCCTGTGAAGGCTCTGAGCGGCTTTACTTCGTCTTCTTCGTCCTCAGAAGAGATTACTTGTCTTGTCTGGAGCCTTCGCTGAGCCCAGTACGCCAGAGTTCGGGAGCCAACTCCAATACCTCCTCAGACTCCTCGGACTCCTCCGTCGAGTTCGTTTCCCGCTCGTTCCCCTCCGTCGCAACCTCCGGCTGCTCCTCTCCTTCCTCCATCCGCCGCTCCTCCTGGCGAGGGGCATTCATGAACGCCTGCCGACCGGTGATCACCTCCAGGCGCAGCACCCCGAAAGCGTGCACGTCATTCTTGGCCGTCAGCCTGCACGAGCTGTAGTACTCCGGGGCCATGTACCCGAAGGTCCCCGCAACATGGTAGGTCTCCACTGTCTCGCCCGCCTGCTGCGCGCCGAAAACGCTCTGCCCGACCTTTGCCAACCCGGAGTCGGACAGGTAAGCCCTGATCGAAGTCCAATCGCCCTCTCCCTGATCCTCGAGCAACACGTTTTTGCTCTTGACATCCCGGTGCACGACGGGAGGGTCTACCTGCTCGTGCAGATACCGTAGAGCACTTGCAATTTGCCGAGCGATAGACAGCCGGTCCTTCCAGTCCAACGGCGACTTCTGGCGGGTGCAACTGCTGCCATCAGAGATGCTGTCCATTGTTGGCACGACACCTTGTTCGCGACTGGCGTACCCAGCCAATCGCAGGCGGTCGTGGAGCGTACCTCCCTCCACGAACGGGTAGACGAGAAACGACTTCCCCTCCTCCCCCCAGTATCCGACAATGCCACAGATCTGGCTATGGCGGAGTGATCCGAGCACGTCCAGCTCGGCTTGGAACTGACGGAACCTCGCCGCTTCCAAGAAGTCCGCATCCTTCATCATGTTGACGGCCACCACCTGGCCGTCGCTGAGCACTCTCCTGTACACCTCCGCAGGGAGTACCTCTTCAAGCCGGAATGCTCCCGACTGAAATCTTTGCACGCTCTGCTGGTCTCCTCCAGGGAGTACCTCTTCAAGCCGGAATTCGGCCGTAGGATCAAAGGCGATTGTCCCATCTTCGCCGTTCTCATCCCCGAGCTCGCCTCATTCGACACGGAGTTATCTGTCCACTTGGTCCCCGACCCCTTCACATCCTCCGATGAAGCAGTGATGGACGCTTCCGGTGGAGTCCTCTTCCGCCTGTGTGTAAATATCCCTCTTCGCCGTCGGATCACAACAACTGATAACGACACGGAGTAGGCTACAACCAGTAGCAGCACGCCGGCGCTTGCCATGGCGATTGCACGCACGCTGGCCGACGGGGATGGGTGCCGAGCCGTCGTGGAATCACGCTGTTGTTCGGAAGCTGCGGCGCTGGGTGACGAGGAAGGCTGAGCCGTCATGGAATCCCGCTGCACTTCGGAAGGTGCGGCACAACGAGGCAGAGCCGATGTGTTGATCCCCAACTCCAGAATATCTGTAATCGCACCCACGTACAGCGTGTCACTCTCCGGAGAAATGTCCAGTGACATTCGTCTCCCATGTAGGATCGAAGCGACAGTCGCGACATTCGCTGCCTTCCCCCAGCTGGCATTTAAGGTAATCAGCAGGAGCCTGGCTGGGGGGTCATCCCAGTCCTCCTGGGTTTCCAGGATGAACACGTTGCACCCGTCGTGAGTGACAGCCAAGGTCTGGGGTGCTGAAAATGAAGCTTCGGAGGCAGGGCCGTCCCTCCTACCTGCCGTTCCTCCGGCAATCCGATGCACGGCACCTGTACTGGCCCGAATCCGGCCGAGCAGGTGACGCTTCTGATCGACAAAGTAAATGGCTTCCCCGATGGTGGACGCGCCCAATTTCGCAGAAGCCAGTCGCACTTCCTCGGGGTCGTCACTCTCTCTGTAATGGTTGCTGAAGGGGTCTTCATAATCCACGCCGATCCAACTCTGCAAACTGGAATACCCCCCTGAGGGGTAAGTCAAGTTAACACGGTGAATCCCAACACCTGTAGAGACGTACAAAATCCTGCGACTGGAATCGATCGCCATGCTGGAGATCGAAGAATCCCAAGTAGCGGTTACACTGGGGTAATCGCGGGCATAGAGCTGATGCGTCAAGCTTTCGTTGGCGTCAATGGAAAGGGCACGGAGTGTGCTTCCGCCCAAAAGACCGAATCTTGACGCCACGTGCAGGATTCTTGTCCGCTGTGTGTCGTCGTTGCCAGCGAGGACTGCTCCTGTTAATTCCGAGTCACTGTCTTGAAGCGCCATTGCATGGAAATAACTAAACGATCCCTCGGGCGCCGATCCGGCTGCCAACAATGCCGCGTTAGCCTCAGGTTTATTCGCCTGGTAAGTGCTCATCCTCCATATCCCGTTTGTCAGCGCAATAAACAAGCTTCGATCCTTGGGAGATAACACCACATGCACGATCACAGGGTCCGGCATTTCGTTTGCCGTAGAATAGTTGTTGGTACGGATGAATTTCATAGCATACTGAGCTCTGAGAGTCAAGAGATTGGCGTTGGTAATATTTATAAGCGGTCGGTCTACCGGTGACCACTCGGCAAGGCGCTGCAATGACGAGGACGAGAGCAGCAGCGCAAATATCAACCTCGTGATGATTCTCGAAGCGAAATCTGCCATGGCTGGCTATGGCCGACGTCGCCTAGGCAGAGAAGCGCGATAAGGGACGAGCTTGCTGGACCCCTCGTTGATGCGAGTGCTCGGTCGCCCTCGTGGGGCTCAGGGTCTCCCGCTGCCGCTCCTCGTTTCCTTTACGCAAATCCGGAATCTTCCGCCGTTAGCCCTTCTTCGGGATATCCGCTGAACTTGTATCGATACACAGAAGATCGTAGTCGCCCGTAGACGCATGAACCGAGAAATGGTCCAAACTTGGAAGAAGAAAAAAAAACGAGAAATGGTCCAAACTTGAAAAAAAAAAAAAACAAAAAAAAGCAGTGAAAAAGCAGGTGAGATCCCCACTAGATAATTTTAAACAAAGAACCCCCCCTCCCCTCGAAATTCCGGCCGCTCTGGAACTCCCTATCCTATCCTACCAAGGCCACGTGGCCGAATGGTAAATCTATCAACTGTTGATCGACATATCTGATGAGTTCGAAACCTGGTGCAATCCCCCGATAAAGAAAATAAAGTAACTCTAAATTACCTGGGGAATGGTAAATCTATCAACTGTTGATGGACAGATCTGAGTTCGAAACCTGGTGCAATCGTCCGATAAACACAAAAAAGTAACTCTAAATTACCTGGGCCCTGTAAGTTTGATGATGATACCTCAACTTGAAGGCTGTTGCAATCCGATAAACAAAGGGGGAATGGTAAATCTCTCAACTGTTGATCGACAGATCTGAGTTCGAAACCTGGTGCAATCATCCCTTTTTCGTAGTGAGGCTGCGCAGCCCATTAAAGAGGGCCCACCTACTCTGCCATCTCCTAGATCTCCGACGAGTTTTCATACACCAGTTTGTGTGTGTCTAGCTGCCTTGTGGCCCTTGTCCCACATGGCGACACCGAGAGCAGTGTACACCGCTCGTCGATTAGAAGGCGAGAAGACTCACACTAAACAGGGCCGTCGTCGTTTTGATCCGGTAATGACGACCACGATCATAGTTACACCTGACGATGGCATTCGCATTCGCAAGCTTACCTCGAATGCCGTAGTTTGCCGTCGCCTGCCAACCACTTGGAAAAAACTCCACGCTCTGAAAATAAAGCCGCAACCCCTTTAGAACTCCTGACTGATTTATCCGTCCCCGAACTCACCAACCAATCAACCTACTCTAGCTTTCCCACACCCAATCAGTTGATCGATGATCGAACTCCTGTGATCGCACTCGTGACGGGGAATGGAAATCACTCGGCGACAGTCGCTCTGTGGCGCGGCCAACCTCATCGACCAATCTGGCGTGGGTTTACGAACGCAAGGACGACAGACGGGAGTAATAAACTTCGCGAGAGTCCGAGAAACATACCGGCGTAGAAAAGGACTGCAACCAAACTGCTTGTCGCCATCAAGTAACTCAGCAATAATCTGCTAGAGCTCAGGCCTCGCTTCACTACTCTTAGTACTCTAGACTCTAGACTCTCGAATTTTCGAGAGTAGGTTGTCGCTGCACTTACACTCGATTGGGAAACTCTCTAAACCCGATCCAGAGCTGTCAGAAGGCACGCTATATTAGCACTCTCCAAACGTGGAGAGTTGCCGGCCTGCAAAACACGAATTGGCAAGTGTCCTCCCGAGTTGAAGCTCTTTTTTTCGAGAGTGGACCTCCTGTCCGGGCGGCCAGACCAGCCTGGGGTTGTCCCGTAGCGTAGCCGTGCATGTGTGCATGTCTTCTGTAGAGTCCGACGACGCCCGGGGTTTCAAAAGTGCATCTAGTGTAACAGGTTCTACATTAAGTGCCGTGCACGTCTTCTGTAGAGTCGGACGACGCCCGGGGTTTCGAGAGTGCAGCTAGTGTAACAGGTTCTACAGTAAGTGCAGGGACGTCGTGTATTTCGAGAGTCTCGCCTATCTGACAACGCTAGTAGAACTCTCAAAATATTTAGAGAGTCTGGAGTAGTGCAGCGAGGCCCCTCCTCACTCTGGCGGTTAAGCCGAAAGAACGACAATGATTGCAGCGATACGATCTGCACACACAGAAGCCTGATCACCAGGGAAGATTTCTTCCCCGCTTGTCTTCCTGGGGCACACTCACACTAGCACTTTCCTTGGATGTATGCGAGCGCAACAACGGCAAGTCCAATATGGGCCTCGCTGCTCTACTCTCGAAATGTGCAAAACGAGAATGAATCTTCCGCTAGAATATGGAAAGATGCATGGTGTCTTTTGTGCATGTCGAGAGTAGTGCAGCGAGGCCCTATATGGCCCTATATCTCACCAAAGTCAAGTCCGGTGATCAGCGGAAAACTTCCGAGTGTCCAAGGTGCTTCTCTGCCTGCGGTTTCGTTTCTCGCTTGCAGCAGGCATGATCAGAGCCTGCCGTCTTACAAAGAAGCGCACACTCAGACTCATGTTCGGCGAGACACGTCAGCCCCTTCTTCAACAACCCCGTCCCTTTCTTTCCCGTCCGCAGTCTCTCTAGACCAACGGCATAGCATTTGATTATTCATTGTTTTTTTGGAAATAGGGGAAAAAAAGCTTTCAGCAGCATTTTTTTTTTTTTTTTAACGGCTAATTCTTGAAGCCCAGCCAATTCAATTACCTGTTGAATCTGGACAGGAAGGCCTTTCAGGCCTTTTTTATTGTAATTATGGTATTACAGGGAACCCCGTAGCAGCCACATCCGTGCTCAAGCCTCCAATGAGGGAACATGCGGGAGTTGCACCCACCAGCAGCTGGGACACCTGCTACAGCAGGTGGGCGATACCGGCCAGGGGTCAGCCGGTGGCATCAGGACCGAGCTTCTTCGATGGGCCAGTCACTGTGCCTCCCCTCCGGTCCCCTCCCCCTATGAACATCAGCAGTCTCTGCTCAATGCCACTCGGGGCATATCTCTAGGTGGCGGGCGCCAAGCTTGCCCAGGAAGGTGCATGAGGCCAATGGGGATTGAACCCAAGACCTCCTGAATGCCACTTGCGTGCCTTAGCAACTGAGCTAGGCCGCTGGATTTTCAGCAGCATTTGATTCTCCTTTTCTGCCTTTGTTTTGAGTTTTTAAGTCGCAAAAACTGTGTCACACTGTTGCTTGAGCTAGTTCAACGGTGCATGTGGGACTTGGCCCCCACCATTGTAAATAACTGCCACATTTTTCTGGATTAAAAAAACAAAAAGAAAAAAGTGTGGTATTTGTTCTGATAAGTCCAATATCTGATAGTCTTTTACTCATAATTTTTTTTTTTTCGGAATTGTTTTTATCATTATTGTTTTTCAGATGAAAAAGGAAAGTTTGCGTCCCACTTCCACAGGCAGGGCTGGGGACATGGGGCAGGGGAGGGATATAGTGCATCAACTCTGTGTGTGGAGAACCTAGGCGCGGTCGTATTACTGGCCCCCCGTGAGTAGAATGAATGGTCAGTATAGCTGTACTTGGGGGAGGTTTCAGTCTCAATACACTCAGGCCCTTGGGATACCAATCATACCACTGAAAATAAATCCCTTCACTGCAGCGTGCCACGTGGTGGCGTTGGGATACAGCATGTTTTGCAAGAACTCATCCACCAAGACCTCTCTTTCTCATAGTATTGCAGCAACAAAACAAAAAAAAAAGGAAAAAAAAAGGGACCTCTCTCTCTCTCTGTCTCTGTGTGTGTGTGTGTGTGTGTGTGTGTGTGTCTCACACACACACACGCACGCACACGGGTACACACACACACACACACACACACACACACACGGAGAGAGAGAGAGAGAGAGAGAGGGAGAGAGGGAGAGAGGGAGAGAGAGAGGTGACAAACCTGAACAGCAACGGAGCCCAGAGTTCACGAAGTTACTTTCGTAGGCCGGAAGAGGTCTATTACAGCGTTTTGAGTTATTGGGAACAAGAAAGTAAGCCGTACAGTTTACTGTACGGATACGCAGTTTGAGAATCTTTTTGGGAAACCTTGAGGGCAGACACGCAGTTTGAGAATCTTTTTGGGAAACCTTGAGGGCAGACGTGCCTGAATCGGGATCATAAGGGCATACTCACACGGGGACCCCAAATCCGCAAAATATGCGGATTTGGGAAGGGCCGATTTGAGGTTTTGGGCATAGTTCACGTCACACTGCTGTACATTTTCAGGGCATACTCACACGGCGACCCCAAATCCGCAAAATATGCGGATTCCGAAAGGGCCAATTTGAGGTTCTGGGCATGGTTCAGGTCACACTGCTGTACCTTTTCAGATGGGACAAGGTAAGGTCGCCGCCGTCTGGAGAAATGGGGATTTGGTACTTGCCTGGTCACACGGCGCCATCCACCAATTGTGCAAGAACTCTTGTGAACGAAATTTTGCCAATTTCTGGAGAAAATGAAAAAAAAAAAAAAGGAATTTGCGGGGTGACCGGAAAATCCCTTGCCCCGCGGCTTCCCAGGCCGCTGACAAATAGGCACTGGAATAGAACATTTGTGAATTTGGTAGATCCGTGTGACCAGCCTTTTCCCCTTTTTTTTGGGATTTTGGGATTACAGGTCCCGGTGCGAGTATGCCCTCAGAAAGAGCTGGCCTTGTGAGGTATGATAATACCTCAAGGCCATAGCCCTTTTTTTTTTTTTTTTTTTTTTTTTTTAAAAAAAAGAGCTAGCGTGTTCTTTTTTGGCTTTGACTTTTCCAAATTCCCTGGTAGGGCCCACCACTCTGTACCAGAGTCTGCACTGTTTGACACATGAAATCCAATTTGAAATCCACCCTCCTGTGTCACCTAATGGCGCACAGCCAGGGTAGAGGCCACACCTGACTGAACTGCAGTTCCAAACTCGGTGGTGCGACTTTTCTGCCATCCGGTTTTTTTTTCGACTGCATAGTAAACTTCGGACGGGACTGGAATTAAAAAAACGCCATTTAAAATGCATTTAGAAACTGCTTGCGTGACTGCGCCCTAGTAACACCCCCCCCCCTCCCCCCAAAAGAAAAAAAGGTGGGCAACAGGTCCTGGGAACAACGGCAAAGGCATGCAAAATCCTTTTTTTTTTTTTTTTAAATACGTTACTACGCTATATTCTTCTCTCAAATCTTTCATCATCTTTCAAACAAAAATAAAGAGAAAACTACGGCGCAGTCAGGGATTGAGTTTGTAATTGCAGTTGAGGCAAAAGGG